GATACAAATCTTAGATTTTGTTACTAATAGCTACATACGAAATTTCATTGCCGTAGCTTGTTTTTGAGATGTGAATTTTGTCCTCCTAAATTTGTGAAATTGACCACTGTGCGTCATCGAACATAAAAGACGAATCGTATCGGGTGGAATTGAATCTTTCTTGTTGCTTTTACCTCTGTATCAACTTTGAATTTCATATAAATAAAAATAGAAATCACTGAATAATATTAGCAACACCAGGTACAACCTGTTACAATATACTTCGTGAACCTTTAGTATTAGCAATTGTGTGTGTTGAATGAAAAATTGCATTTAAATTATAGATGAATGTGGGATGGTTCCCAACAAATCTTTCAATAAATTTGATATTTGTAGATATGAAATGTTGAAATAATTCGTGATTTATTATAGTTGGTGTAGATTTATATAAAGAAATATTTAAGCCGTTTAATTATTATTCAATTATTATTGCATAAGCTATTATATATCACATTTATTGACAACAATCTTCTTTTTTCGCATGCATATATATGTGTATATCCATTTAAACATCAAAATATCCCGTCAAATGCTTTCCCCATATTAATTATGTAGACACTTAAATAATAGGTTAATTTATTTAAAAATAGGAGCACAAAATTCAATCTTAATGATTAGTCTTAAATCAAATTTGAATTTGGCTCCTAACTTTGAAACGAGTAGTGGATTGTACATCACATAAAAAAATTTTAATTTGTATAATATTACAACAATAATTATTTTTTTTTAAAGCTCGATTGGCAAACAATTTATTTTTGCTTAATAACTTGCGTTATCTCCTCTCATCGATATTATTCAGTTAACTGACGAAACTATTTGTCTAGGCGACTTCAACATAGATATGCTTAAACCCAATATGCCCGCGGTTGCTGAGTTTAATGGCACATTAGAGGTGTTTGGGCTGTTACCTCTGCCACTTTATTTGATTTAATTTTGGTCTCTAATGAAGACCTAATACTTAATAGTGGCCTGTTGAGTTACGATCTTTCAGATCACCCGTTTTTTGCTGATTTTTGCTGAATTGAATATACCACAGGAGAATGTAATAATAAGTTGGTTTTTTATGACCATCTACAATCATTGCCCTGGCGTATTCTTTACGAATTACATTCCATTGATGATAAAATTCAATTTTTTAATGAAAATATATTAACGCTTTTGGACCTACATGCACCCGTGGTTGTCCAGTGAGGTTAGAGTGGCCATGGGAACCCGAGATAAATTCTTTCAAACCGTTAAACGCTCGCGAAGTACCTTACATTGGCAGCAGTATAAGTTAGCGCGTAACATGGTTACTAATATGCTTCGTAATTGTAAAAAGACTATTTGCAAAAGTTTTTGGATACAGGTAGCGTGGCTGGGTCTTGGTCTGCGTTGAAGAAGACTAATTTGGTTAAATTCAAACATAGAGCACTACCTAACCATTTTGCGGATGCTTCTGTCGTTAGCGACTATTTTATTGACTCGATTCCCAACAGGAATAATACAGTTATTGGATATTTACATGGGCGTAAATGAAAACTTAAGTTGTTCTCTTAAACTGTCAACGGTGTCGGAGGATGACATTTTCAGTGCTCTGCAATCAATTAGATCTAATGCAATTGGATCTGACGAAATATCTATTAAGTTGTTAAGGCACTGTATGCCATTTTTATTGCCTTACATCACCCATATTATTAACTTTTGTATTAAAAACGGCGTTTTCTCTACTGCATGGAAACTGGCGGTTGTGCTTCCGATACCGAAAGTAGCGAATCCAATTCTCACGTCTGACCGTAATTTCAAAGGTTGTAGAAAAAATTGTTAATGTACAATTGCAACAACGCGACACGTCGCATGATTTTTACTTTGTTTTCACATTAGCACGGTACAGCGCAGCACAACTCGACACAGCATTTTATGCAGCAGACAACTGTGCAATATCAGTTGCATTTAGATTTCTTTGAGATGTGCACGTCCGAAGAAAGCTCTTCGTCGTATTCGGAAGAAGAAGTACTGCTTCTTACAACCATGTGTTTGGAACTTGAGAAACCTAAACGAAAAAAGAAGCGTGCTTGTTGGATGCATGACATATTTCGCGCAAGACTGGACGAAGGGGAGTTTCATACGCTATTCAATCGGTTACAAAACGATGAAAAAAAATTTTATAAATATTATAGAACGAACCCTGCAAAATATAATCAATTATTTGACATTTTTTTGATAAGGGCACACGTAGCCCTTATCAAAAAAAAATACAAAATTGCCTGCGATTTATTTTTGGCGTTGGAAGGTTTGAAAGAATTTCATATAAATTAGGGGAACTTAAATGGCTTAATACATATGTCTTATAGGAGACTTTTTCACAGTTGTGTATTTTACCATAATATTGTTCGAAGAGAAAAACCTGAATACCTGTGCCGCAAAATTCAGTACCGCACTGATGTTCACAATTTGAATTTGAGATTCAGGGGGACTCTATCACCGCCCTTTCACCACACTGATCTATTCAAGAGGAGTTTTCATTATCAAATTGTAAAAGTGTACAATAATCTACCCTATGAAACAATCCAACTGGCAAACATTTCCACCTTTAAAAAGTAGATTTTTGGTGACATATTCGACTAATGACAGCGCTGAAATGGCTACAAGTACGACCCAGTGTCCGCATTTGCTTCTTGTGTTTTATTTATTTTTTTTTTTCTTTTTCAATTATTATACGAGTATCTAGGTTTAAGTTTTAATTTTAAGTTGAGCAGTGCTTAGGCACTGAACTTCACCTTTTCATACCTTATATGTTATTTATTTTATGTTTCTAATATATTTAGTAACATTGTTGATTTGTATTGCATTAACAGGTAACAATAAAGTCACTATTATGTTAGGGATATTTTGTGTGCGGGAGATTTTGGGTTGGTAGTGCGGAGCGTGGGGTGGCAATGGAGTGATTCCCGCGTTCGAAATGTTCCGAGACGTTAGATAAAACGAACAGGTCTGAACAAGATCGAGAGAGTCGAACATGAGAGTTGGTGCGTGGCAGATGTAGAAAACGTGTATTGCGAGAAAAGACGGACAAAACGGGCGTGTTTTGAGAAATACAAACGCTGAACTAAATTTACATTAATATTATGTTTGAAGATTCAATAAAGTTGTTATTTAGATAAATTTACGTGAGTGTATTTACTTTAATTATTATATACTCATTCGTCTATCTGCACGTGCAATTGGGTAAAATTCTTGTTGACTCGTACTGGGTGGTGGATATCTCCATCTCCATGTCTTTGGAAGATATCTGTCAGTTGAAGCTAGTTCTCGGAACAGAGCTTCAGACGGACTCAAACCGCTGTCTTTGGTGTTGTTCTCTTCAACTTCGACCTTCGTCCATCGTCGATTAGAAGGGCTGGGTTTAGAAGGGCTTGGGAAGAAACCACTGGATGAAACCGTCGCCGAACATAAAAGTCGAATCGTATCGGGTGCAATTGGATCTTTGTTGTTGCTCCCGCTCTGTTTCAACTTTGAAGGATTCTTGTTTTCTACGCTCCAAAAACCACAAACGTCTCTGAAAACAGAAGCAACCTAAAAGAAAAAAAATTAAAATTTATTTTAGAAATGTTGCATTAAAATTTTTACTTGATCTATACTCTCTCGAACGGAAATTTCATGAAAACAAACACAACCGATTTCTTTGCTTCTTTTTTGACCTTCCTCCAGCGTAACCATCCGACCGTTGATTTGATCGATTTTATTTCCGACTAAAACGACGGGAACTTCGGTAATACCCTCTTTCGAACCATTTCCTAATCTTTTTCCACATTTGTGGTAGTTTATCAAGAATTTCAAACGGCAACATTCGTCGAATGAGCATTTATCGGTCACCGAATACATCAAGATAAAAGCTTCTGCCCATCTTATGTTGGCCGCTAAAGTTAAAGATTCGCCATTTTCTTGTTCGATTTGTCCCGCGGTATCTAAAATCTCGAAATAAACCATTCGGTTGTCTATAACGGTATTAAAATTGTAGACTTTTCCAATGTTGGATCATATTCACCGATGTAACGTCTTGTAATAAATCTAACAACCAGAGCTAAAATTAAATTAAAGTAAATTAAAAAGTAAAGATTGAGTTAACAAATTTAAACCTGATTTTCCAACTCCGGCTTGTCCTAAAACCATAACTTTTAAAGTTTTTTGTCGGGGGTAGAGTCCTAAGTTAACTAAAAAAGATTATTTTAATTCGTTTTAACGTAAATTATCGCAAAACAAAATTTACCTAATTTATTCATCATGTCACGTCGAAACAAAACGGTTCAGGTTTTCAAGCTCAATCGAGTGCTTCTTGATTGTTGTGTAATATTCTCTGTAAGTTTAATTACGAAGAACGAGATTAGAATCCGGACCAGAATAATAATTCGAATACAGTTTAATATTTCTAGGGAGAGTAAAATGGAAGAGATTATGTGAACCTTCCTTTAGGGTTACGATACCAAAAAAAAAATAATAATAAAAAGGGACAAAATCAATAAAACCAACTAAAACGGAATGAAATGAAGATTCGATCTCGATTTTTTTGTTTGAGTATTAGTGATGCTTTTTACAAAAATAAGTTCCCAAAAAAAATTGTAATCGGATCTAGTTTCTGATTCTTTTTTAAATATTAATTTGCCAGGTGTGAAACCCCGCCGAGGTACGATTTCCGCACGTGCCGGTGTGTCCAGCAGAGGGCGTCGTGCAGGTGCTCGTTCAGCACCACAGGGAAGAGTGGAGGAAGACGAAAGTAGGGATGGCCACGATGTATCGATGTTATAAAAATATCGATTTTTTCGTTTCGATATTCGATGTTTTAAATCTATATTTTTTCTTGCGATTATATCGGTATATATCGATATTTCATTCGATATATTATTCGATGTTTTATTTGATATATTATTCGATATTTCATTCGATATATTATTCGATGTTTTATTCGNTATGCTTTCATTGGATATAGTCAACTTATACACCAATGTACCCACCCAAGAAACACTTATCATAGTTGAGGAATACTTACAAGCAAATCAAACTCTTTAAAATGATTAAATTGTGTACTGAACTAAATTTTTGCCAATTTGAAGATGGACTCTATAAATACAATGATGCCCTCCCTATGGGTTCACCACTTAGCGGTCTCCTAGCAGACTTTTTCATTGATAAACTAGAGACATCGTTCCTACAACCTGACAATGAATACAATAAATACATTCTGTTCTGGAAAAGATATGTAGATGACATTCTCATAATCTGGGATGAATCTTCACCTAGGTCTCTAACAGAACTATTACAACATGTCAATACTCTTCATGAAAAGATAGAGTTTACTATGGAGAATGAACACAATGGGGAAATAAATTATTTAGACCTCACCTTAAAGAGACATAATGGAGAAATAAAATTCGACATCTACAGAAAACCAACTCAGACAGATGTGGTCATTCCTTTTGATTCCTTTCACCACTATTCCCATAAATGTGCTGCGTTTAATGCTTATATACACCGGCTATATGACACCCCACTTACACACGAACAGATAGAAAATGAAATTAAAATAATAGAAACCATCGCCCACAATAATAAATACCCCCCTAAATTTGTGAATAACCTTATTAACAAATATACTCACAAACACATAAACTTAGATATTAATGACTCTTTAATTCCGTTAACCAAGAATATATTGACATATAGATCTATAAATTATCCAGGGGACCTATCAACAAATATTCAAAGAATCTTCAAGAAATATAATATCTCAATATCATTTAAAACTAATTCAACCTTACTGAACACCCTGAGTAACGTAAAAAACCAATCAGATATACTACTGAAAAATGGTGTTTATTCGCTTGAATGTGATACGTGTAGTGCGACATATATCGGTGAAACTGGGAGAAACCTGAAACAACGTATAAAGGAACATAAGCTTAATGAAAATTCGAATTTCGGCAGACACTTCCTAACTCATAATCACGTTTTCGATGAAAAACGAAACGTAAAACTATTACATCATCAAGGTAAGGGATATAAATTGACATTACTGGAGGCATATGAAATAGATCGATTTATTCACACAAAAACTGATTTGCACAGTTTGAACGACCAGGTTCAATTACAAAAGACACCCCTATACCGATATTTGAATAACCCATACGATCTCAAATCTGAACCACCAGACACATAATTATATACCTTTAACTTCCCTTCTTTTATTCCTTATATACAAGAGGATCTCTACCTAATGGTGAGGGTAGTTTTCGCACTATATAAGGATCCTTCTCACCAAACATATCCTTTTAATACCCAGTCCTTGTTCATCCTTTTTATCTCCATTACATAATCCCAAACACCTATTTCCTAACCTATATAATTATTTATTTGAACTAATTATCTTGATCTCTGATTTTTTGATTGTATTTTGAGAATTATAATATGTTGAAACTACAATGTATCCCTAGGCGATTATTGTGTTAAGATATTCATTGATGTATTTTTGAGAGTTTTTATATTTGAATTTGAATCTTTGGTCTGCACCTGCGCGTAGGGTGTTTATTTCTAACCCAATCACATGAATTTGTAGTTTTTCACCTTTTTAACGTGTTCTCGATTAAGACGTAGATCTTTTAGGTTAATCCTAAATTTGTTTTATATGTGCTTCGTTTTAATTAAATTGATTTTTTGATATCATTTTGAATCATCTAGCATGTGTATTGGCATACCGAACAATTTTGTTAATCTCTTTATTTGTTGAATGAGCAATGTTTCAAGACGAGTTTCCCCACCTTTAACTTGACAAGGTAATATAAGTTTTTGATAGTTTTGTTTTACATGTAGTTGATTTGTAGACTCCTGATGATGGTCACGTACCGAAACCGGTAGAGTTAATTAATAAAGGAAAATATATTGGAGTAGTTTGACCATTTATTTTGGTTTTTCTTTTTTATTTTNAGCAGAGGTACTTGACATTACGTTCAGCTCAATCATATTAAGCTGAAAGATAATCTCCTATCCTCTGAACCGTCGTGTTCAGATCATAGACATATTCAATTTAAAATTGACCTAGGGATGAAATCGGACTGTATGTACCGTAATCCCCGTAGCACTAATTGGGATCTGTTTAAGAGTTGCCTTGCAGATAACCTAACTAGTGTGATCAATTCGTTCCGCCTACCACAGTAACAATTCACTGAAAGTAAAAAGTAATAATCGGGGCACACCCTGGTGGAACGAATGTCTTAGCTCCGAAAGACAAGAGGTCCGGAGGCTTTTTAACCGGGCCAAGACATTAGGTGCGTGGGAGAAATATAAACAAGCTCTAACGAATTGCACCAAAAATATACGTAAGGCAAAAAGAGAGTCTTGAGGAGGTTCTGGGAGGGAGTGAAAAACATACCCAGTAGTGTAAGAATTCACAAGATTCTCGCTAGAGATCCGGCACTACTCCTGGGCTCACTTAAGCGGCCTGACGGTAGTTTTACGGACTCTAGCAAAGCCACGTCATGCAGACTCTAGGAAGCTTGATGATGTGGACTGATAATACCACATCGGGCTATTCCTGCATTGCAAAGCGCCCCGCAAATATGGATTGGGGTGTGGCTCTTCACTTGCACATCCGTCGACCAGGCGATTCAAACGTTTAAGCTGTTCAAATCGCCCGGAGAAGACAATATCTTTCCTGCTATTTTGATAAAAATTTTAAGAGCGATTGTCACCTGGAAATATGTACCTACCGGCAGAATGGACTAAGGTAAGGGTGTCATATATACCTAAAGCGGGCCGTTCGGTCCCTGCTCCTAATGCCTTTCGCCCCATCAGCCTAACGTCATTTCTGTTGACAACCGTTGAAAAAGTTCTGGATCTTTATATCCGTACGGTGCCACTGGTATCTGGTCCACTCAGTCGCCACCAGTATGCTTATCAAGCGGGAAAATCAGCAGAAGTGGCTCTACACAACTTAGTTGATAGAGTATCTAGGACACTGCAGGATAAAGAAATCTTGGTTTGTGCGTTTCTGGATATAGAAGGAGCGTTCAACAACGCAATACCACAATCTCTTGAAAGAGCTGCTCTTAACAGGGGAGTGGAAGCAACTATAGTGGGTTGGATCCGCAATATGCTTGATAGTAGAACAGTTTCTACTTCACTCTACGGTGATACGATACGCTATCTCCCGTGTTTTCTCCCCTGCTTTGATCCCTCTTGGTTGACGGTCTAATTGCGATAGTCGAAGCCGTTTTTGTAAAAGTAGAAGTTTATGCTGATGACATTGTCGTTATAGTCAAAGGAACCTGTTTATCGAGGATATCTAAAGTCCTCCAGGTGACCCTAAATACCATTTCTGCTTGGTGTAAGGGAGAGAATCTTGCGATAAACCCGCAAAAGACAATTGTTGTGCCCTTCATCAGAAGACGAAAGTTGGATGGACTAATCCGCCCAACTATCCAAGGTGAAGAAATTCCTTTCTCAAAGGAAGTCAAATATCTAGGAGTAATCCTAGACAAAACTCTCTCATGGAATGGACATTTGCAGGGAATTTTGCACAAAGCTAGACTATCCTTGTAGATTTGTCGCAGCCTTTGTGGTAAAAATTGGGGTCTTACCCCTGAAAGACTGTACTGGCTCTATGTGACTGTGGTTAGACCTATGATTACATACAAAGCAGCAGCCTGATATAGGAAAGTGCGACAGACTTCAGTTATCAGTAAACTTTCACGAATTCAACGAGTAGTTGGATTGGCAATCTCTGGTGCAATAAGCACAACGCCAACTGTAGCAACGGATGTTCTGCTTGGCCTGTCTCCTCTGCTTTTGCATATAGAGAAAGTGGCTAGAACTACCATTTACAGATTTAAGCAATATGCTCAAAACTGTTCCGACATGTCCTACCAATGGGGTGCAGAAGACATTATAAGCACTGATGCTGTGCTATCAATGCCGTCAGATTTGGAAGGATTACTATCAGTGATTAATACTCGATATCATATTGTACTGCCTGAACGGCAGTCCTTGATCAAAAACGAAAATTCTCTGGTTCAGGCAGATATTTGTATGTACACAGATGGATCAAAAACGCCGGAAGGAGTCGGAGCAGGAGTATACTGCCAGACACCTCGAATTAAGCAAGCTTACAGCCTGAGTACGTTCTATAATGTATTGCAGGCGGAAGTATTTGCTATTGACATGGGTGCTAAAATTCTTCTTGAGAGAGGGGTGAAGAACATAACAGTACGACTTTTTTCAGCCAGTCAAGCCGCTTTCCAGGCGCTGCAAGCCGCGAAAACAGTGTCGTCTCTGGTTAATGATTGCAAGAGAACATTAAATACACCGAGTTGTGATAACAGAGTTTCTCTGATCTGTGTCCCGGGTCACTCTGGGGTTGCCGGCAGATGACCTAGTACGAGAGGGCAGCGCTAAAGTGTTTGTGGTGCAAGAACCAGCAGTTGGTGTATCATTTGCGATGGCCAAACATAAGATTGGACTGTGACATTTTAGGACATGCTCGTAGTAGCATAAAAGTTCTAATGGGTGTCTTTATTGGGCACTGCCGATTAAA